TTTTTGATCTGATCAGGCCTTCAATCCGATTATTTGTGTCCATGTAAACGTAGCTATTGACTCAAAGGCAATCCCTCACACCAAGCATGCTTGTAGCGAGAGTGAAGAGCAAAAACTCCCTTTTAACAGGAAGAAACCTCCAGCAGAACCGGGCTCAGCTGCTGAGGCCGACTGGGGTTCAAGGAGACAGAAGCAGAGATACAAGGAGCAGCTGTAAAAGGCGGCCCATCCAGGTAACACACAGCCAGGAAGACGAGCTCCGAGCCAGCTCCCATGTCAGAGGATGAAGATAGCACATCAGCATCAACAACACTAACCCAGGGAAATGGCGTCACCAGACATGCAGCCGTGGGGGGACAGATGCCACGCAGCTTGCCAGTGGGGGGTTCGACACACCTTTTTTTTGTCAACGGGAAGGAAGTTAAACGTGAATTGTCAGCGGGTCGACCCGTGTTTAAAAAAACTGTATTGTTAACTCGCTAATTTCAGTAGGAAAGAGGATTCTTAGCCATTCAACCTAACACGCTCTATGACTGACTGTCAACCTGCCTGGTGTTAACTAATAGGGACGGAGCTACAGGGAGGGCCATGGTCACCCAAGGTAATCATTGACCACCCCTGTGGCCGCCCTCATCAGTGGATGTGTTGTTCCCAACCCCTCTGGAACAAGCAGATCCCTTTTAAACCAGAAGGTGACAGCAATGATACTATCATGTGGAATGTCCTATTTTGACATTAGTATGCTTCTTTTGCATATTAATCAAAAATTGCTAACAAATAAATTATTCACAATTATTTCTTTTATAGCGGTATGGATGTTGTACGAGCTACTTTTAATGTTGTTTTTTCCTGATTAATATATCTTGACCCTGAAATAGTTTCTGTGTCTAACAAACCATGCATCTGCAAGGCTTAGGCAGGCAAAATTAGATGTCGCTTGACTTTAAATCCTGTTATGTTTTTGTTTTTTTTAACAGCAGTCACAAATGCCATATGGAGCAGCCAAGATTTTACTAGTTTTACTATTAAGGAAGTTTCATACTCCCTCGATGCTCTTAATGCCAAATCAATGAGGGGGAACTCTTTTGGCACAGTAAGTTCTTGCCTTATTGCTGGAACTTAGGGGGTACCACCAATTGTAATAAAAATCTGGAGTTGTGGTGGCTGCCCACAAATGGAACCCCAGTGTTTAGCTCCCTCCATCTGCCCCTGTTTACCCCAGACTGTGAACCTGTATGTTAGGGGACACCGAAGATCCACACAGGCAGAAGGCAAAGTGCAAGCTATCGGGTTGGAACCTTTTGCACCTGCCAAGAGAAGTAAGTCTTCCTTTTATGAGCCTATTGAAATTCAGCTCACAGCCCATTCATTCTGTCAATGACAAGAGGAGCCAGAACAACCTTGCAACCCCCACCACCACCACCACCAACACTAATAACACTGTAATGGTCAGAGATAGATCAAGCTGAGAACCGATGGTTAGAGTAGCTCTTCTGTCTTTCATAAGTGTTTATTGCAGGCAATTTTTGGATTCATTTGTTTTGAGCAGATGCATGCCCGGGTACACCTGCGGTCGATTGTAATAGTTTTCATTCTGGCAAGCGGACTGACAAATGACCTGCCGTTTTCTGCTGTTTCTTCAAGGAGCAACCACCTGCACTTAATGCATGCCGCTGCTTATGCAATAAACCCAATATGTAGGAAAGAAAATGATTTTTTTCTTTTTTTTCCAGCTTTGTATGTCCAGGGCAGCACTAACCTCTGACCCCGTGTGCCTCACCGACCAAGAGAGCAGGTTCATTATATGTGCCTGAGTGGAAGAAATCAATCCTTGAAATACTTCCTCTAGTTATTCTTCTCACAAAGCGTTTCACTCAGAGGTAAGCATTTTTTAATCAATACAGTGAGAGAAGAGGAAAATGGATGATAAGGTTAAGAAAAAAGCTGCCTCTGCTCAAGAAACCCTCAGTTGCATCGTTTATTTGTCATGCTCACTGAAGGCCACTAAGGGGCAGTAGCGAGCCTCAATCAAAAGTGCTACAGTCTATATGTAGCCTGTTATCTGGAGTTAAATTCACTAATTAATGATATGTTTGTCATCCTCTGACTTTATGCATCTCACACCTCTTCAATATTATGGGAAAAGATCTTCAACAGCAACACATACAGTTCAATGAATATGAAAATTGACCATTAATACCATGAAAAAAAAAATGGTTACAGTTATTACTACTAATTGCTAGACATCAAAATGATCAAATACAGAATAAAATTCTTTATGTTTGATGTATATTACTAATGTGTTTTATGAAGCTTTTTATAAAGAAAATATATTCAAAGTGTCACATAAAGGGAAAAAAGAATGAATAAACCTTTATTATTATCTTTAAAAGCAAATTCTCATAGCTAATAAAGCATATAAATGATCTTAAATTATAATGATGTAGGACTGATTGGTCACCTTTATAAATTTTTTGTCCTTCTCTTTCAGCCTGTTTCTGTTGCACTGTATTAAATTCACACTTTGAATATTGTGAATAAGAAGGGAAACATCTGAGAAGTAGCAAAATTTATTTGTTTACTTTTTGTCATTTTTTAAGGGTACTTTAAAACTCAGCAACTTTAATATCTATCATGAACTCAGATAAGAGAGGTCTGCAACATTTCTCATCACCTCTATACAGATACACAACTTCTTATATAAGCATATAAGTTATACCAGCTGCTGAATGGGACTTTTTCCTATGTTCTTTTATGTTTCTGTGAAGAATTTGAAATTACCTCTATGTTTATCTGTTGTGTTACACATATAATTTTCCCTGGGCAATCTTAGTTGGGTTATAATTGGGCCATCTCTTCAAAACTATCTGGAGGCGCCTCTGTTGGCTACTGCTAAAGGGTGAAATATTGCAAAATGTTAAAGTATTTGTTTATTTCTAAAACAAATAGGAAAATGATATGTATGGAGTGAAGTTTGTTTCATTTTTTTTTTTTTGCAAGCAAAGAATATGTTTTTGTAAACTCAAATTTGAGAAAAATGCAATCAAGAAATGACATTTAGAAAAATAAATTATGAAAAAGAGTAAGTTTCATCAGATAGATTTTTTTAAAGAACACAAAT